AAGATCACAAAATTTAAGTATAGGGATATTGCTACTGTGAATCAAGGAATTACTTGTGTCATTATCAACCATTAGCTCAAGCTTGTCCCTGAAATAGATCAAATCACTATTATTCATCTAATTTTGGCGCCATTAATCCAATTAAACCAACAAACAATAATATATCTACATGGCAAGTGGGATTTTTAGTAGTTTTCTAGTAATTTACACAATGAAAATTCATTTAAGGCACCATTCTGGTGCCTCCGCGTGCTGAGGTACTAGCCACCGGCCTCTGTGTGCGGAGGCCAGATCCTCCGAGTGCGGAGGTTGGCGTGCCTTCGCACGCGGAGGACGCACCTCCGCACGCGGAGGAACTGTTTCCTCATAGCGGAGGCACTAGCATGATGCCTCCGCACGCGGAGGATCGTGAAGAGGCCGGTGCCTCCGTGGGCAGAGACGTCGGCAATACCTCGGAGTTTTGTCTTTAATTTAAAAATTCACACCTTTCGTTAAATTGGTGCTGTGCTGTGTCTTGTTTAATGTTGTAGGTTGAGTCCTCGGTGGAAATCTGTGTCGCGAAATAATCATTTGCAATAATAAATTCTAATGGAGTGATCTGTTAATGATAATTGATTTAAATAATACCATCCAATATTCAAAAATCACAGACCAAAACAGATATCTCATCTTCGTTCATCAAGCTTACTTGACCACTGGCATTAGGACCATCAGTATGAAAGAGAATAGGGCGACATCTCATCTTCGTTCATTAAGTTCAAATTCTGTAAGTATGCAATGAGGGATAACATGCTGACTTGGGGGAAGAACACCCTTACCCACCACTTCTATGTACTCCATTAACTCACCCACACACACCACCACTATCGTCTATGCAACGGTTCAATAAAAATGTCTGGACAGAGTTTGGAGACACGGAGGTTAGAGTCCCTGAGGGAGGAGATCAGTATATTTAGCTTTTCTTTTTTTTTGAGCGGGTTGTGCATTTTTCCAGCTTATGACGCTTACATCAAGGAGTAAACTTTTGATTGGACGGGATTGAATTCAAAATTTTGGGCGATATTCAATTCAAAAAATCTGGGCGGTATCAAAAAACATAATTTTTTTATTTTTTATTTTTATCTTGGGCGGGATGGAGGCCAAAATTATGGGCAGGAATACTGCTTCTGCAGCTATCATTCTTTAATAAGTATAAAATTTTTAATATTTACATACAAAATATTTTATTGTGTAAATATATGACTAAAAATGAGTGAAAATTAAAAAAATTGGAAATAATAATTGCAAGGGTAATTTAAAGAGAGTCAAACGGGGCCTAGTGCGTGCACACTGAAATCTGGAGTCACGGCGAAGGGGATATATGTGCAACCAACTTGGAAACACGCAACAGTCGTAGTGCTTAATTCGCTGCAAAGCCGTTTAATTTCAAATTTTGCAACCCAACCACCGGAAAGACCCCCTCAGATACACCCAAAGAGGGGGTAAGGGTTCAGTACACAGGGTTAAACCCGACCCAGAAACCAAATGTCTACCCGACCGCAAAACCAGAACCCAACTCAAGGCGACGACGTTTCAAAGCTCGAAGAAGAAGATTATGAAGAAGAAGAGGTGTTGAAACTTGAAGAAGAAGTGGAGCAAATAGCCCAGAAAGTACTCGAGTACAGAACTACACTTCCGGACCAGCTTAACTCCACACTCGCTTCTCTTCTCTCTTCTCAACGACCCATTATTACCCCGAGCAGTTTGTCCGAAAATGGATCTGAACCCGGACCCGAATCGGAGGCGGGTCATAATTCAGGTGCGTCTGAAAATTTGAATTTTGTTTTTACCTATGTATCTGCTGTGTGTTGTCGCTCTTAGGGTTTGTTGGATAAAATTTGGAAATAATTTTTCAAAAAATTGAAGTATAGCTTATTTTATGTGGCTCTGTTTTTCTACGAAGTTATAATATTTTACTGTGATATGAAAAATTTCCTTTTTGTTCTCTGGTAAATTTAGAAATACTGGTGAAAATGTTATTATAATTACCCTAAATTTTTGTCATTTTTCAAGTTTGCATAGTCACTTGAAACGTGTGTCTTCTTGCTTATTTGGATTATATGTTGCAGGATTGCGTGACATTGTTATTCATAATATGATTAATTGTGTTAATTGGTTGAAATGACTGAAACGGGCAAAGCATAGCGGTCTGCATAATGGTTATATGTGGCTCTTAGGTGTCCAAATGATGAAAAGTCACTCGGGTATTCAATTTTCACATTGGTGTGAATATATTTTATTCTATCTATATCCTTTTGAGAAGATCCTTTACTCCACCAATTTCCTCGAAACAGAGCCACAGAGATGTTAATAACACCCTGGTTTGGCGGCCACAATTCATCCACCAGAGTGAATCGATTTAATTGTTAGCATTCTCATAGTAAACATGGTACATGCATTTGTCCACATTCATATCTGTTTGTGCATGTGTAACTAAGCCCCTGTTTGATCCACATTATTTTTTTCATT